TTTTTATATAGAGAGAAAATTTCAATTTTCACTATGTTTTATTAGTAAATTTAGCCCCTGAGTCATTACTTTTGGTCATCACTGTATAATTAAAATAAGTTATTCAGAAAAAATATATATTAAAACTAGAAAATTTTAATTATTTTTTGAACTAAAAATAAATAATTTATTAATAAAATATAAAAATTTATATATAATAAAAAATTTATATTTTATTAATTATAATTAATAAAAATTCAAATATTATTTTTCTAATTATTTTTTTAATTTTTTAATTTAAAAAATAATATTAATATTTTTTAATAATAATCTATTAAAATATATATAATAGTTCTTATAATTATAAAATTAAAAAATTAATTATTAATAAAATATAATAAAAATTAAAATTTTCTCTTTATTTAAACTTTATAATTTTATTAAGAAATAATTTTTATTTTATATTAAAATAAAGTTTATAGATTATAATTAAATATATTTTTTAGATTTTTTCTAAAAGAGTTATTCTAATTTTAAAGTTAATATAAAAATTTTTACTAATTAAAAATAAAATTTAATTAATAAAAATTTTTGCATAACTTTATAATTAGAATAACTCTTTTAGAAAAAAATAAAATATCTAAAAAAATATATATTTAATTATAATTTATAAACTTTATTTTGATATAAAAATAAAAATTATTTCTTAATAAAATTATAAAGTTTAATATAAAAAGAAAGTTTTAATTTTAATTTTATTTTATTAATAAAATTAACTTTTTAATTTTATAATTATGAGAATTATATATAAATTTTTATATTATTAAGTAATTTTTTGATTACGCATATTCCTTCAAAAGTTTCTATAGTGAAGTTTTAATACTTTATATGCGTATAGAACAATATTATATATTTTATAGTGTAAATGTATAACTTATATCTATTAGCAAAGGGATTGATTGATATTTTGATAAACATTTACATAATTTTGGCTAGCATTAAGAAATCAACAATCCAGGTCAACATGCAAAAATTTTGTCAATATTACTCGAAGCATGATTTAAAATTGTAAGGAACCATGTGATCAACGATTAGTGGTATATAATCATTATAAGATGAATACTACTCGAAAATGTCCTTGAAAATGTCTTCCAAGTATGCTATACGTCGTCGATATGCTCTTGAAGAGATAATCCAAGAATTATGTGACTCATTGACTTCTCAGAAAGAATCACCTTCTGCCAGGTTCCAAACCACGCTTGCATTCACCGAAATCTTCATGTTGACACAACCGCCACCATCACCGTCACCGTCACTACCGACAACAGCAACAAAAGTGTTGAGAATAGCAGTTTTAGACTCATCATTTAATCCGCCTACAAATGCTCATCTTCAATTACTTTTGAAATCAGTGGATACACGTAATTTACACTTAGATAGCGAATTAACCTCGAGTAGTGGAAGTAGTAATTCTGCTAATGACAACGAGAAAAATGAGTTTCCATTTTTATTTGATGCTTGTTTGTTACTTTATTCAATTGAAAACGCCAATAAAAATAAAACATCAAGTCATGGCGAAGCAAATCCAGTTGATCGGGTATTAATGATGGAGTCTTTAGCATACGAAATTCATGACAAATATTCAAAAGAGACAACACATCCAGCGATTGCTCATGCCCTAAAAAACATTGCAACTGGAATAGCATCCGCTCCACGATTCGTTGACAAACCTGATGCCATATCTCACTCATTATCCTCGTATTATTCTTCACGTAATCAACCACAACTATCATCATCTCTTTCAGCTCAGTCTTCTCTTCCCCCTTTAACACTTTACTTTATAATGGGTTATGATACTTTAACTCGTTTATTCGACCCTAGTTATTACACCGACATGCGTAAAGAATTGTCTTCATTTTTCGCTACAAATTACGTGATTTATGCTAATCGTGCTGGATTTGAGCCGCAGGAGGTTCAACAATTCTTTAAAACCAATGAAGCTTTCCAATCTTTTCGTCATAAAATCTTGCGAGTCGAGTCGGAAGAAAGTGTGACAGCTTTGTCGTCTACGCGTGTTCGTAGATTGTTAAGTGGCTCGAAGCAAGATGAAGGAAATCAAAGTGATGTTAATTTGGAGGTTAAAAGATTACTGTATGAATATTGTCCCGCTTCGGTGGCTGATTATGTGTTGAGGGAAAATTTGTATAGGCAAAAATTGCTATGAGTAAAGTAAGAAGATTAGCAGAGATTTTTTTCTAGACGCGTATAATTAACAATCAGTTAAGTCTTCTCTTTCTTTGTGTGCTTAAAAGCAATTATAACAAATATATTGATAACAAATCTGATTTTAAAATTTATTTCCTTCAAACATAAAAGAATATCAAGACTTTAACTATATTCTGATAATAATCAATACAATAATAAAGGTAAATACTTATTTTTAGATAATATATATATATATTAAAAAATATAATGTGTGTTTCAAAATATTAATATTTAAATATGATAAATATTTATTAATAATTTTAAAGTTTTAAATTAATTATAAATTAAATATTAAAAAGATTTAAATTTGTCTAGAAATACTTATAGATTAAGAAATAAATTTATAATATTCTAATTATATAATTTTTACTAAATAAAATATAATAGATATAATAAAAATATTTACTTTTTATATATAATTAAAATAATTTTTTAAAAAAAATATATATTAAATTATAAAGATTTATTAATAAAATTAAAAAAACTAATAAAAAAAAGATTATTCTTTAATTATTATTATTATAAAACTAATAATTAATTATATTTTTAAAATTACAAACTTATAAATGATTTTAATAAATAAAAATTTATAAATTATATAATATTATAATAATATTCTTTATATTTTTTAAAAAAATTATTAAATAAAGAATTGATAATAATCAATTAACTTTCAAGAATATATAATAAAATCAATAAACATAAATAATTTTTTAGAAAAATTTACTAAATTATAAATTTTATATTAATCAAATTAAAAACTTTAATATAAAAAGAAATATTTATATTTATTATATTTTATTTATAAAATTTAAAATTAATAAAAAATTTAAAATTTTATTTTTTTTATTATTATTATATATATTAAAATTATAAATTATAAATTTTTTAATATATTAACTTTTATAATTATAAAATTAAGAAATTAATTTATTAATAAAAATTTTATTAATAAAATATAATAAAAATTAAATTTTTTTTATATTAAAATTTATAATTTTATTAAAAAATAATTTTTTTTAAATCAAAATAAAATTTATAAATTATAATTAACATATATTTTTTTAGATTTTTTAGATTTTTTCTAATTATAAAGTTATTATAAATTTTTTTCAAATTAAAAATAAAATTTAATTAAAAATATTTTGTAATAATTTTGTAATTAGAATAAATAAAAATTATTTCTTAATAAAATTATTAATTTTAATATAAAGAAAAAATTTTAATTTTTTATTATATCTTATTTATAAAATTAATTTTTAATTTTATAATTATAAAAGTTATTATATAAAAATAAAAATATTATTAGTTATATATATTTTTTACATAATTTTATTTTTAATTATAAATAAAAATATAATAATTAAAAGAAATATAATAATATAGTGATTCTTATAATTATAAAATTAGAAGATTAATTTTATTAATTAAATACAGTAAAATTGAAATTTTCTTTTTATATTAAACTTTATAATTTTATTAAGAAATAATTTTTATTTTTATATTAAAATAAAGTTTATAAGTTATAGTTTAA